CACTGCCGCATCAGTGATGTTGGAGCAGTTGTCCAAGCCGAGGGTTGTGAGGTTGGGGCAGCCACCGGCGAGGGCGACCACTGCCGCATCGGTGATGTTGGAGCAGTATTCCAAGTAGAGGGTTGTGAGGTTGGGGCAGCCACCGGCCACCGCCACCACTGCCGCATCGGTGATGTTGGAGCAGCTAAACAAGTTGAGGGTTGTGAGGTTGGGGCAGCCACCGGCCACCGCCACCACTGCCGCATCGGTGATGTTGGAGCAGCTAAACAAGTCGAGGGTTGTGAGGTTGGGGCACATCTCCGCCACCACCATGGCCATGGCGTCGGTGAAGGACTCATTGTAACTCGCCCCCACCTCGCCCACGCCCACGCCATTCCCCAGAGCCCTCCTCACCTCCTCCACCGTCCTCGCCTTCTTCACGTCCACCTTCCGTCCAGCACCATTCGCAGCCATACTCCCTCTCCACTCTGTCAGATAGAGAGGAGTGCCTTCCCCACCTTCCCCATACCCCCCCGCGACCCACCCACTCACACAGCCATTCGGCAGAAATCAAAGCCATCCAAAAGAGTTGACTCTGATCGTGTCAGGCAGGATCACAGCCCCCTCCACCACTCAGACACCCCCACCATACTCATTCCCCACTTGTACATCCTCTCGATCACCCTCTATACATCCCCATGGTCCCGTATCCATCATTCCCGTCAGACCACCCCGTCACCCTCCATTGGTCGTCCCGGCACTGACGTCAATCTCGGCACTGTGACGTCGTGCCCTTCCCTGCCCCGTCTGCCGGGAAGCCCTGCCACCACCCGCCACCGCCCGCCCCTTCCACCCGCTCCGTCGGATGGGTCTCTGCCTTGATCACCTCCGCAATGATCTCGCTCTTCCCTCTCCAGGGCATGCCTCTCCGTCGGCCTCTCTCCAACTCGTCCCTCCGCCAGACGTCGTCGATGAATTCTGCGGACATGCCCAACACGCTGCTGTGCTTGTGGGTGTCTCGATCAACGTCTGCTGGCCACTGCGCCTCGGTCTTGCCTAACTTCTGCTGATGGGCTGGTTGGGCTTGGCCGGCCGAACGCCGGGGGTGGGTCACTGTGCTGATTGACGTGATCCGGCAGGCAGAGATGGCGAGCGCGATAGATGCGAGGACATCTCGAGCCGTCAAGCGAGCGGGGCGATCGGCTGGTTGGGAGCTGGAGATGGCCGAGCGCACTTGGTACAGGCACTGTGAGATGCCCGATCTGTCCTTGGGCTCGGCTGATCGATGGGGATCATGGTCGATGTCGAAGCTGGTGTCCCGCGTGAGGATGGATGAGGTCGAGCGCCATGCGGCTTGAGCCTGTGGTCTGTCTCGGCAATCATCAGTTCCGATGCGATGGTGATGGGTACTACATGCTGTGCGACTTTCACGTCTGCTGGACGTGTGCCTGTAGGAAGGACGACATGTTGTGGGAAAGTGCGGATGCTGTGCGGCGGGCGGGGGTCTCTGTGATGATGCTGATTGCGATCGGGGCGATGGCCACGGTGGAGCGCCGATGAGCCTGCGGCAATGGCTACGACATGACGTGAGGGGGTAAATGGTCATCGGGCGGTTGGTACTGGGGATGTGGGCCACGGACTGAGTACATAGTTGTGACGAGCGCTGCATGCGAGTGCGTCATGGGCTGGCCACGACTGAGGTCTATGCGTGGATGGCTTTACCGACTGGCCAGTTGCTGGAC